CTCATCCAAAGATTCCTTTTCAACATGCATATTAGCCGGGGATGGATCATTAAGGGCGATTATCTGCACTGAGCGCAATTTCTCTGCTGCTTCCGCGACCCTTTTCTCAATATCACTGAACCTTTCCCTCCAAAGGGCTTTCAATGGTTTCTTCAGAATTTTCAATTTGTATCCCAAGTCACCAGTGGAAGTGGCAGGAGGACCCGAGTTCTCCCAAGCAACAGCAACCGTTTCCAAGAAACACGGTAACTTAGATAGGAAGTTATAGAATTTAAAGGGGCGGGTACCAAAGGATGGAGGAGCCGATTTCAACCTGATGTGGCATGGAGCATGATCGGAAAACTCTGGCGCTTCAAAGGAGCAGTGGCTTGAAGGGAAAGAAGAAATCCACAGGTCATTGACGAGACATCTGTCTAGCTTCCTCCCAACCGGGTCAATTAGTCTCTTATTCGTCCAAGTGAAGAGAGGACCCTGAGATGGGAGGTCAAACAAACCAATGGAGAAGAGACAGTCACTAAAACGCCTCATGGGAGCTGATGAGACAACAACATTCGGGTTTGAAGATTCGTCGGGTCTGATAATCTCATTGAAGTCCCCACAAACCATCCAGGGTTTAGAATTTAACGAGAAAGACGCATGAGTGTCCGATAGAGAAGCCCAAAGGTCTCTCCTTATGTCCTCCAAGTTTGAGCCGTAGACGGCCGTGTAAATAAAGCTGACATCATCATCCAGGGAGATCTCGCAGGTGATAGACTGCAGATCCATAAACAACACAGAAACTTTGGTTGGTGGTTTAAATATGATCCAAATCTTTCCAAGAGGAGAGAACTGATAGTTAGCAACAACAATCCAATCCTGTCCCAAGGCGGAAATAATATTGTTCTTGTTTGAAGCATCAACATGCGTTTCAATAAGTGCACCAAACGAGATCGGTCTTGAAGAGATCCAATTAAAGAGTGGCCTATGCTTAGAGTTATCATTGAGACCCCGCACGTTCCAAAAGAATGTATCTGACATAGGAGAATTAGGGATGGTGTCGCCCCTCTAACGCAAGGGGAAACTGACCACCTTTCGGTGTACCAGAGCTAGAAGAAGAGGATCTAGCAAAAACTTTACGCTTCTTTTTCTTGTTTTTCGAGGGAGACGACGATGGGGAGGACTTTCCTTTATCGGGCTTCCAGACTTCAATCTGACCCTCTTGAGACGAGGAATCATCACAGCTCTCGATCACCAGTGCTGCATAGGGATTGTCACGCCTTAAGGGAGGATTCAAAGATGCTGGAATTAAATCCAAGCTACGGTTCGCAGCATTGGAAACAGGTAAGAACGGGGGTCAGAATCAGATTCTGCTGGTGGCTCGGAATGGTCCTGGCGAGACACTAAGATTGTTTGACGGTCCACAGCGGCAAGAGGGGCCGAGGGAGTCTTCGAGGGGATGGATTCCTCTTGAGTGGTAGCAGAGAGGGAAACATTTGGTATAGCAACTGGTCTCCAAACAGCCCGAGTCTTTGGAGGATTACCAGATGAAGTAGAAGCAGGATCTTGCTGCTGCTTCTTGCTAGGTTTGCTTGGGCCATTCACCGCCGGTTTTTTGGGACAAAGAGATTCCTTATGTCCAAGCTCATCACAAAAAGAACACAATGGAGGAAGCCAAGGGTATGAGACTCCTAGCAGAGTAATAGAACCATCCTCATCTTCAATTTCGACTTCACGAGGCAGAGGAGTGGTAAGGTTCATGACCACTTTAACTTCAAAAGAGTCAACTTTGGTGAAGGGCTTCGCTTCGACCAGGCGACCCAGCAATTTGGAAATGATATGTGTACCTTCTTCAGTCACAAGATCAAAAGGGATGTTGTGAATCACGGCCCAAATCGGGGCACGGAGGAGTGAAGGAGGGTCCCGACTGAAAGACGATTTCCACTCGGTAACAAAAAAAGGGGAGTCTCCAACTCTCCAAAGCTCATGCTGAAGGACGCGTCTTCGCAAGGACGGAGAAGGGATATGGAATAAAAAGGCATTCTGGTTGAGTTTATGCATTGTTACCTTCTTATCCCGACCCCAGAGGTAGTTGAGAACACCCCAAATCTTCCCATATGAGGGAGCGTTTCCATAGAAAATACCGACAATAAAGTCGGAATGAAGCTTTGCCCCTCGTTCAAAAACCTCACTAGGGATCTTAACCCTGGGTCTGCCTTCAGGGGAGGTAGAAACCTTCACGTTAGTATCAGAGAACTTGGAGGAAGGCTTAATGTTTGAAGCCCAATTGAAATCTGGGTTCAGCACCGGATTAGAATGAGAAGGACCAGGCTTATCAGCGACAACTTGAGGAGAAACATCAGGGAGGGCCGAATCCACAGCTGGGACTTGGGCATTAGAGATCGGAGAAGCAGAACCCACGGCGGATTGGGCAATGAGCTGTGGGTCCGGCGGGAGAACACCAGGAGGGGAGAAAGCCTCCACCGGTGCTACCCGAGAAGTCGGCGGAGCCAAAGGAATTCCGACATCAGCCGCAGGAAGGTCGAGAAAGCAAGCAATGGCTCCCGACGGAGGGGTAGCGGAGATAACTTGGAAGGAGTACGGATCGGGGGGGTCGGGGGGAATCGGAGGTGGTGGCATCCTAGGAGAGGGGCGGCGAGGAAGGGTTTTTTATTTTTATTTGTGTCGGGTTTTGGTTTTTATATAAAGAGGTCTCTATAATTTGAAATACTAGATATTGATTCCGCTCTTCGCTCGGGCTCATATGTTGATGTTAAATCTGGAAAAAGAAGTACAAAGTAATATCTATTATTACAAATTGTTGAATAGCTAATCTATCACGTTTTTCTTTTTTCTTAATTTTTTATTCTTTTTCTCTAGTTTTATATTTTTATAGTTTATTATCTTCATCTTTCGTTCTTTTTTCTTATTTTAATGTCATAATTTTCGTATTTTTTTCACTGGTTTTGTGTTCTTCCTCTTGTTATTTATTTTTTTTTTCTTGATCGTCTTTTATTTCTTCTTCTTCTTCTTTTTCTTTATGTTTTTAATGTTTTTTCAGTTTTTTTTTATTTTTTTTCCTAATTTTTTTCATTGCTTACTTTTATTTATCTGGTGTATATGTTCTCCTTCTTTTACTTCTTTTTTATTTACTTCATATTCATATGTGTCTTTTTTTCCCTTTTCTTCTTTTTCCTACTTTTATTTTTTTCATCATCTTTTTATTTTTTTTATTATTGTCGTTTTCTTTAACCTTTTTTCAGTTTTTAACAATATGTTGTTTTCACTTAAATATATATATATATATATATTTAGTCTAGTTTATATCAGTTAAATTTTATTCTATTCATTAATCTGTATAACATTCTAAATTTATAAGTTTAGTATTAAATTTTACTGATTTAAATTTAAAATATAGTAATAAATATAATTATGTTTTAATAAATAAATATTTAAAATAGATTCTTTTTAATGATGTTGATATGGACACCCTAAGAAAAGAGAAAACTTTCCCATTATATAATAGATTTTATTCACACAATTAATAAAAAAATATTCTAGCCTAAATAATATCTCTTTTTCGTTTAACGTATTACGAATTGATGGTTTCTTGACTTGCGACTTTACCACAGTTTGTAATCCTACGTACTTAGCAAAAGCTTATAAAATTTTCCGAAGCATGTGAAAAATGTCAAAGACTTTGTAGAATTTTTTTTTAAAATACTGAAAATTTATGTTAACGAAAATCGAGAAGATATGATGAACGTTAATGCAATCGACATTTTTATCGCTCGGTTAATAGTACTAACACAAATAAGTTTCTTTCTACTCAGAATGTAAACCCATGTTAATAATACTAATACGTTTTCGTTCATTCAGATGCAAAATGGAACTAAGCTAGTTAAACTTTTGTAAACTAAATTAAGAATTAAACTTTGAAAGTGCTTGAGTCTAACTACACCATCCAATTCCATCTATCTACCTAAAGCACCTCGTTACACTAGATAATTGCAGTGATCATACAATGCTAAGCATCCAGACAGCGACGACACCGCTTTCAAATCATTAGAGCTGTCCATTTATTCAAAAGGTTAATTATTTGACAACTAGAAAACGACGAATACATGCATGTCACAAAGATGGAAATAAATTGAAAAGACGACAAAAAAAAGAATTAAGAGAAGAGGAGAAAAGGACAAGAAAAAGGCACACGTGTATGTTAGAGTTGTGTATGGTTGAAAGGTAAAGAAAGCACCTGAGCTGTTTAGACAAGACTCATGGAGAGAACAACTTTAAATGCTCTTCTATAATTATTATGAACCCTTCTTTTTTCTCTATGCATATTATATTTTCTCAAGTCAACTTCGCAATCGCATGCATGGTGCACCCAAGCTAAAAAGAATTACTATCATATATTATGTAATAAATGTTTATAGAACTTTTTTAAATAAAAAAAAAATTACCGTAAAAACACTCCGATAGGTTTTATGACAATTGACGAATAATTTAGTCACAACTCCATTACATTTGTTTGCGGCGAATCTCATGGAAAAATCATCATGGGTATTTCCAAGAATACTTATGACCAAATTTAGTTGCTAACGATAAGTCATGCTAACGAAATGTTTGATCAATCTCGTTAGAGCTACAAAGTAAAAAAAAAAAAGAAAATTCATCTAAAATATCCATAAAGTTTTTCCCTATTGATATATGTATACTTTTCCTATACGACAGTCGACAAATACCTATTCTTCTTTTTTTTTTTTTTTTTTTTGACAAATAACTGTATAGATAAATATCTACAAGATATTTTTTTTCAACGAAAAATATCTCTTTTTGACATCTTAATTATATTTATAATACATAGAGATGCAGAGTAAGAAAAAAGAGTCAAAATTAAATAAACATCTTCTCTGCATAAATACAAATGAGTCATGTGTGTATACCTCACTCTCAAGTCTCAACACTATATATTGTGCTATATGCAGCTACAATCTTAATTTCTCTCCATTACAAGCCTCAAAAGAATTAAAGAAAAAGCAATACATAATGAGCTCCGTAACACAGCTATTCAAGAACAACCCCGTGAACCGTGACCGCATCATCCCACTAGACTTCACCAACACCAAAACCCTACCCGACTCTCACGTCTGGTCCGAACCCGAACCCGTACTCGAACCCGAACCAACGATCCGACCCATTCCCATCATCAGCTTGTCCAACCCGGAGCAGGTGCTACTACGACACGCCTGTGAGGAATGGGGTGTGTTTCACATCACAGACCATGGAATCCCACACTCGTTACTCCAAAACGTTGGGTGCCAAATGAAGAAGCTTTTCTCTTTGCCCATGCATCGTAAGATCCTAGCCATCCGATCACCAGACGAGTCCACTGGTTACGGTGTGGCTCGGATCTCCATGTTCTATGATAAGCTCATGTGGTCTGAAGGATTCTCCGTTATGGGTTCCTCTCTTCAACGCCACGCTAAAATCCTATGGCCCGACCCCGACGATCATACCGACTTCTGGTGAAAAAAATAGAAATTTTATATTGTTGGCTCGATTTACCAATAACAATTATTATATTTTGGCTCTAACTAATAACGCAACGTAAATACATATTGTCACAAAGTATAAATAATGATATTACTAGTTTTTAAACTATTCTCCTTAATTAGAAAATTCTTTGGACCAATCTAAACATGGCTATATTTTGTTTGATTTGTTTTGTCAACAAATATGAATTTAAAAAAAAAAAAAATTAAGTGAGAGAAACTATGCTATATGTTTACTTTGAAAGCTCTTTTCCCAAATCCAAATGCATTCTATACATTATCAATAAATTAAATATATTTGGATTACTAGTTCAGGCGAAATCATATATAATACTCAACATTAATTTAAATAGCTACACATATTCATTTTCTTAGTAATAATCATCTTAGATACGGGTTCTTTGAAAATGCAGCAATGTGATGGAAGAGTATCAGAAGGAAATGGGTGATCTAAGTCACAGACTAGTAAGCATGGTGATGGGTACGATAGGACTAACACATGAAGAATTGAGATGGCTGGAACCGGACATAGCCGGTACAAGAACCGACTCGATCCAATCTTTTCTGCAGTTGAACTCCTATCCGGTCTGCTCTGACCCTCATCTAGCCATGGGCTTAGCCCCTCACACAGACTCCTCCCTACTAACCATCCTCTATCAAGGCAACATTTCAGGTTAGAGATTAGGAGATTCACCACCTTTTATTTGTAGTTTTATATATCGAATATCATACTTCCATCGATCTGACACCCATAAATTCGTGGTATTAACAAAATCAAGACATAAAATATATAATTAATATGCAATCCTTGTGGGTTTTAAAATATTAATTTCAGTTCTGATAAAATTTCCCACAAATTGAAAAGAGGATGGATCAAATATATTATATAGATAGGGCATTAGTTAATATTCTCATTGTCAATTGATTATGAGTTAGAACTCAATAATTTTTCTAGAAACTTTTCTACCATTTTGATTACATATAATATGGTTTTATGTTTTTTCTATAAAAAGAAAAGATATTCAGAGTTAATAACTCAGATATAGTAATCTGGACACCAAAGAAAATAATTGTTATAAAATGTATACATAAAAATTTCAATCGATTAAGCAGATCATAGAAACATATCAGAAAATGTATATGTTCATTCTAGAATAACAAAACGTTATAAGATATGAAACAAGCATTGGATTGGTCAGGTCTAGAGATTCAAAATCCACAAGAAGAAGAGTCGAGATGGATTGGAGTGGATCCAATAGAAGATGGTCTTGTTGTTATAATGGGAGATTTGTCTCATATCATATCCAATGGACGGTTCAAAAGTACGATGCACCGCGTGGTGGTGAACAAGACGCACCACCGTGTCACAGCCGCATATTTCTCTGGTCCACCCAAGAACCTTCAGATTGGTCCGTTGATCAACGACAAGGATCATCCTCCTATCTATCGGCGTTTGATATGGGAAGAGTACCTTGCAGCCAAAGCAACACATTTTAACAAAGCCTTGACTTTGTTCCGTTGCTGAAATAGAAAATAAAAATTATCGTCTACTTTTAAGTAACTATTGTTTAAGTTGCGCCGTTGCATTTATAAATATATTCCATTTGTTTCCTTTTATGTCAAGGCTTCTACATATATGTTGAAGGGTTTTGTTTTTGGTGTTGTATTAGCTCAATATTTTGGTACACTTTGGTTTGATCTTCCAATTGAATTTGTTTTACCAAATCATTTAAGTGACTGAAATCAATGGATGTCCAAAAAACCACAAGTGACTTGTAGCAAAAAAAAACCACAAGTGACTGAATTAAAGCGTTTCAAGGAAATACAATCAGATTATATAAAAAATATTTACTTTGAGCTTATTGTATATCGATCTCGTTCATCTAGCTCTCCAAACCATTCTAGTTAACGTATGAAGTTGGCTACTTGTAATCCATAAATAAAAATAAACTGTGGATTATTGTGGAAGAACATGATTGTTAACCTAATTTTTACTTTGATAGTGTACATAAATTTATAATTTATTAAGTAATAAAAAACAAGGCTAGTTGACCCCAAAAAAAAAAAAAAAATTATTAAAAAGGTAAGCAAGCGGATCTTGAAATCGGAGAGAGGAAGGAAGAAGAAACAGAGCATGTAAAAAGCTTCTCACTTCCTCGTTACAATGGCGACTTTTCGGCCGCCATCTTCATCTTCAAACTACCCTTCTAAATTCCTTTATTTACAACCATGCCATTCACTCTTCATCCTCCTCCTCCTCATTCTGACCTCTGCAACTTCACTCACCGTTTCATCTCTAGTGAATCCTAATTCCTTCAAAACCCCACAAATCCCTTACTCCGATCACTGCAACCACTTAGTTCCTGAATCTCCGGTCGATCCTTCCCCCTCCGCCGCTTTTAGCCACGCATCGCTTGCATTCGATGTCAGCTTCTTCTCCGGCGGCGACTCCTTCAATCGGATTCAACCACGGAACGGTGACATTAAATCAGCTAGGTTTAGGCCTAAATCCATCCGCAAAACTCTTGGCGATGGTAAGATTTACAAGGTCGAGGCCAGATTGACTTTACAAATCTCCAGAACCTCCGCTTCCTCCTCTAATTACGCCGGCGATTTTGGCCATCAAAAGATTCAGGTAACGCAGATCGACGGACGCAGGATCCCGGTGAGCTCTTGGGACGGACACAGTTTCGATTTTTCTGGGTTTTGGTCGGAATCTACAGGACAAGTATGTATGGTCGGATCAACGCAAGTTTTCTCTGGGGAAGGTAGTGATTTGAAGTCCTTTGATGCTCGTCTAATGCTTAACTATTCGAATGACTCCAATATCTATGGAGGTTTAGTTAAGGGAGTGTTAGAGATCGTGAATAATAACCAGAGTAATTTCGAAACGATCACGATTCTTGGTGCCAAAAACACTCCTTTGAACTATGAGTACGAGTTGTTAGAGGAATCGAAATCGGATTGCGGGACAAACAGTGAAGAGAGTTTGTCTTTGGATCGAGTTTTGGGAGGAATGTGTAAGGTATTCTTTGAAGGTAGAAGTCATATGTTTGGTCTGATGTACAAAAATGATTGTGTGATTAACCGTAGTTGCAGTCCTTTGGGAAGTGACATAGAGTACACACCTGGTTTCATGTCTCTCTTATCGTTTCTGTGTGATGGTGAGAAGATGCGGTTGCTTTTGTCATTAAGTAACACAAGCAGTTTTAGCAGGTTGTTTCCGTTTGATCCGAGCACTACTTTGATTGCAGAGGGGACATGGGATGTAGAGAAGAATAGGTTCTGTGGTGTAGCGTGCAGGATCTTGAATTTTTCCGATTCTTTGAGTAATGCTGTGGTTGGTGATTGTTCACTGAGGTTAAGTTTGAGATTTCCTGCTGTCTTGTCGATTAAAAGCATGGCTCCGGTAGTTGGGCAGCTTTGGAGTGCTAAAACAGAGAGTGATCCAAGCTATTTCAGAAGAGTTGAGTTCTCGAGCCTAGACGATCCACTGTGGCGTTTCCCGAGTCTGAGATATGAGTATAAAGAGAGTGAGAGAGTGGGTAAGTTATGCGGCGCTAGCAAGATTCGCTCCAAAAGCAAAGGAAAGCATTACCCTGATGCTCAAACTTCAGACATGAGATTTGTCATGACAGTGAAATATGGAGGAGTCAATGTGTTGAGATCTGCCCGTGCAAGCCCTTACTTCGTGGGAGATCGTTTGTATCGTGACCTTTTGGTTCGTGGGCAAGGGATAAGTGGAATCCCTATGAATGTCAACAGTGTCACTAAAAGCTTCACAAATATCACTTACAGATTCCGTTTCTTGAATCCGGTTTCTGAAACTCCTGGAGATATCAATGCAGAGGGAACATATGATAGGGATACAGGGGAGCTATGTATGGTAGGATGTCAATCAGTTAGGCTAAAGAGCACAGTGGCAATACGAAACGAGACTGTGGATTGCAGTCTTGCAATCAAGATAAAGTTTTCTCCAATTGATTCACAAAGCGATGATCGTTTAACGGGAACCATTGAAAGCACACGGGAAAAGACAGATCCGCTTTACTTTAGACGTATGGAGGTTTTGTCGAGGTCGATCTATGTTCATCAAGCCAAAGAATCTGTTTGGAGAATGGATTTGGAAGTTGCTATGGTTTTAATATCCAATACACTCTCATGTCTCTTCGTGGGGATGCAGCTCTACCATATGAAGAAACACCAAGAAGCACTTCCTTTCATCTCCATTGCAATGCTGATACTTCTCACACTAGGTCACATGATTCCTCTGCTGTTAAACTTTGAAGAAGTCTTCAAAAGCAGTCATAAACAGCAGAGCTTATTCTTCGAGAATGATAGATGGCTTGAAGCCAAGGAGATTGTGGTGCGGATAGTGACACTAATAGCTTTCTTACTCGAGTGCCGTCTTCTCCAGCTAGCTTGGACTGCTAGAAAAAGCGATGAGCATCATCTTCGCCTGTGGAATGCAGAGAAGAAGGTTTCTTATGTGTGTTTACCTCTCTACATCACCGGCGGATTGATTGCTTGGCTAGTGAACCATAATAGAACTCCTAGAAGAATTGTATACATAGGGAAACCGCGCGCAAGGAATCTCTTGTACCGTCCGGTGAACCTGAAGCGCTCGTTTCAACGTCCTTCTTTGTGGAAAGATCTGAAATCTTATGGTGGTTTGATGCTTGACGGGTTCCTCCTTCCGCAAATACTATTCAATGGATTCAGCAACTCAGACTCAAAGTCTCTTGCTGCTTCGTTTTACAGTGGAAACAGCTTCGTTAGATTGCTTCCTCATGCTTATGACCTGTACAGAAGTCACAGTTACGGGAAGATTCTTGATTGGTCATTCATTTATGCAAACCACAAAATGGATTATTACTCCACTACATGGGATATTATTATCCTCTGCATCGGTTTCCTCTTTGCTTTTCTGATTTTCTTACAGCAGCGATTCGGTGGTCGTTGTTTCATTCCCAAGAGGTTCAGAGACAATCTGGGATATGAGAAAGTTGTTGAGCTACAGCAAGCTGGTGTGCTACACAGTTCCAATGATTCTTGACAATATACAGATACATAGTTTTGTTGACATACTATCTTGTGTTTTTCTTTTAGTGGTTGTAATCTATACAATTTTATTTCTTTTGTGGGAACACATTGTTACAGAGTGAATATTATAGAGTTCAATAAAAAATGAATCCAAATTGCTGAAGCTCCAACTTTGCGTTCTGTTAAGTCAATATGGGAGAGTAAACGGCATTTGCACAAGAACAGAGGAGATTCTTCTATTTGCTATTACAATCAGAGTCGAGAGAGTGCACTAGACAATACTGTAGGGACTGAGGAATTAAAGACCAAGAAGTGAGTTACAAGATTGTGGTATCAAATACTGTTAAACTGCAAAACTCATCTCTGAAGTATTTGACATTCATGAATACTCTCACAAAACTTTTTCAATAATCACAGAAAGTAAGAAGAAAAAAAACTCAGCAGGGACTTCTTGTGCTAAGAATCGCTGTGGTTTCTTCATCGGTTTCAATCTGGTCATCTTTCATACGCTGCAACAGAGTATCAACGTTGCTTCCGCCTTCTCTTATATCAGCCTTGACAAGAGCATGATACATCTGTCTGTTCACAACGATACAATTCCTAAGAGATGCAACAAAGCTTTCTACTTCTTTCGAGCTTCCTTCATCCCCGAGCCAACTCAAAACACTTGTAACCAGCTTTAACCCGGGTCTCCATTTCCTGTTCCCCACTTCTATACCCAAGGCCGTTTTCATACACTTGAAAGCATTATCTAAAGCACCCTTTTCCGCATATGCAACAGCCACAAGCTCCCAAGATTCTGGTGTAGTAGCTTTCCCTCTCCTCGCTAGATCTTCAAGAATCGCTTCTGCTTTCTCCTCCATACATTTTCCAGCGTACTCACGAATCACAGTGTTAAGGACTCGAAAATCGTAACAGTTTCCCGATGATTCCCATTCCTTAAGTACTTCCTCAGCTTCTTTCAAAGCATCAATCTTCACAAGTGACTGCAACACGGTAAGATAGTCCTGATTTATTCGCCTTTTACAAGCTTCTTTCTCCAAATCCCATAACCTTAACACCTCTGCCTTATCCCCTAACCTAGCATAGAGCGTAATGAGATGATTGTAACCTTCACCATCTTTATTCTCCAATCTATTTTCCGACATTTTCAGAAGCTCAATCGCTTTATCACGATAACCACCATCGATATAGAACTTTGCAGCAACAGCATAAGTGTTCCAGTCCATTGCAATGTCCTGTTGCCTCTCCATATCTCGCAAGACAGCACCAATCCTCTCAAGATCAGACATAGCACCAAAAGCATTGATGCAGATCCTGAAACTGTAATTATCCGGAGCAACATTGTCTTCCTTCATCTCACTCAAAACTCCTGGAACTTTACCGTGCTGGCCCAGTTTCGTGTAGAGGCACATGATGTTGTTGTAAGTAAGAGAGGAAGAAGCGAAACCCATCTCCTTCATCTTCTGGAAATGCGACAGAGATTTCTCCACGTTCTGTTG